CAAATCACGGGAAAAAGCTGTAAAAAGTGTAAGAGAAACTGCTCAAGCACGTGAGAAATGGAAATCTGCGAGAGATGTGGCCAAGAAACATGCGCTTGGGCTCCAAACGCAACTATCTCGGACATTTTCTCGCAGGAAATCTACAAAGCAACCAGATCCTTCAAGAGGGCTGTTTCAAGCTAAACCTGGAAGTGATGCAGCCCTGCCACCATTTCCACTTGGTGCGTCAGGTAAGCCTGAGACATCATCTTCTGCAGCTAAAGGGAATAAGAAGGATAAAAACAGCCTCACGCAGATGATGCATGCAATTGAGGCTGACCCCGAGAGTAACGAAGGCTTTAATCTTGAGATTGGGGATAAGAATCTGAAAAAGAACATGCCAAGGGGCAAGCAATTGCATACCCATAGCCAAATCTTCAAGTATGCATATAATCAAATTGAAAAGGAAAAAGCTTTGCAAGAGCAGAACAAAAACTTAACCTTCTCTGGAGTAATTTCCATGGCAACTGATATCGACATCAGAAAGAGACCAACCATTGAGGTTGCTTTTAAGGATTTAACCCTTACATTGAAAGGGAAAAAGAAGCACCTTCTAAGATGCGTAACTGGGAAAATATCACCTGGCCGCGTTTCTGCTGTTATGGGCCCATCTGGAGCTGGAAAAACTACGTTTCTTTCTGCTTTGGCCGGAAAGGTAACTGCGTGCACCATGAGTGGCATGATTCTTATTAATGGGAAGGTAGAATCAATCCATTCATACAAGAAAATTATTGGTTTCGTGCCACAAGATGATATAGTGCATGGAAACTTGACCGTGGAGGAAAACCTTTGGTTTAGCGCAAGATGCAGGTACTTGGTTATCTTGGCTGTCTGTAGCTTGAATATCTTGTATGAGTTTATTGATTGTGTTCAACAATGGATAGAGGAAAAACATGCGTTTTATTTTGACCGGCTATTAGTTTCTCTCGTACTCAGTTGCATCATCTTTAGAAGGACTAAGCTTGTACAGATCCCGGTCTTGTGTGTTATTTTGACGTATGTCATTGCAAGATTATATGCCGGTAACATTCACCCAACATAAATCGGCTGCATATAGAATGAGATCCCCTTCTTTATGCAGTTTCTCCTGGCTCTGCTCAGCCTAGATTCTTAGATGTACTTGTTTTTGTCATATTCGTTCAACCTCCAGTTATTTCACTCTTATTAGCGAGTATCTTAGCTAAATGAGCTGCAGATTGTCATGCATTTCCAATTCACTTTTATTAAGCGGGGGCCACAAGAATATCATAAAGTTTAAAATCATTCTTCATTCACACGTTTTTATCGAAATTTTTCCAGCAGCACAGCAATAATTTCATTGGTTTCTGATTAGTGTAGACTCTCTGCGGATCTACCAAAGCCAGAAAAGGTTCTAGTTGTTGAACGAGTTATTGAATCCCTGGGGCTGCAGGCGGTGCGGGACTCTCTTGTTGGTACAGTAGAGAAGCGAGGAATCTCTGGAGGTCAAAGGAAACGAGTAAATGTTGGTCTGGAAATGGTCATGGAGCCTTCACTTCTGATATTAGATGAGCCGACGTCTGGTTTGGATAGTTCATCTTCTCTGTTACTTCTCAGAGCTCTACGACGTGAAGCTCTTGAGGGAGTGAACATTTCCATGGTTGTCCACCAACCAAGGCAAGTTGCTGATGATGCATCCTTTCAATTCCTTCGCCATATACTGGGCGATTTGTCAGATATCTACAGAATCTGTTTTATACTCTGTTTATTTATTCTAACCTGGATTATCTGCTTTTTGCTATGTCCTGGAACCTAGAGCGTGGTTAATGAGATAGGCCTTTTTTTTGCAGCTATGCATTGTTTAGGATGTTTGACGATTTGATACTTTTAGCCAAAGGCGGCCTAACAGTATACCATGGTTCAGTGAAGAAAGTTGAGGAGTACTTTTCAAGCCTAGGGATCACTGTACCTGAGCGGGTTAACCCTCCAGATCACTACATTGATATTTTGGAAGGTATAGTAAAACCAAGCACGAGCTCTGGGGTCAATTATAAACAGCTTCCTGTCAGGTGGATGCTGCATAATGGGTATGCTGTACCCCATGACATGTTAAAGCTAGTCGATGGAATGTCATCCGCTGCCGGTGAGGATTCAGCTCATGGAGGGAATTCCGGTGATGCTGGATTAGAAGAACAATCTTTCGCTGGAGATCTGTGGCAGGATGTCAAGTTTAATGTTGAACGAAAAAGGGATGATATACAACACAATTTCTTAAAGATGAAGGACTTATCTGATAGGGTTACGCCTGGTGTACTGCTACAGTATAAGTACTTCCTAGGGAGGTAAATTCTTCCCTCTTTTAACTACTGACTCCCACCTTTTTAGGCCAATCATCCAGCTCTACTTGAATGGATTAGTAATTATTTTTGTTACAGAAAATGCAAATCATTTTTATAGATATTCTCCCTCCAACAAGAAGGTATTTCATACGACGGTTAAACCACATAATAGTTACACGCAGGGTACCAAGTCAATCACAAATGAGTGATCCTAGATTTAAGTGCTACGTAGGATGACAAACATATCATACAGGCAATGCGATTGGTTGCTCACAGCACATCAGCTGTGCATACAACACATAGAATACTTCCCCCCTTCAATGTTCTGCCTTCTCTTGGCCTTGCTCATGTAATCTTTCAATTTGAAAGGGTCATTGATCGTTAAAACCCAAAACATGCTTCCTGTGACTCTTTTTGTCACTCATGCCTTATTCTCTTGAGATCCTACATTTGTGGTTTCAAACACTTCAATGTGGGGTGGTGCTAAGCTGGACTCTTTGTGCAATTTGTTTTCTTCAGAGTCGGCAAGCAGCGGCTGCGAGACGCTAGGATCCAAGCTGTAGATTACTTGATATTGTTGCTGGCTGGAGTCTGTTTAGGAACACTTGCTAAAGTTAGTGACGAGACGTTTGGGGCCCTTGGGTACACATATACCGTTATTGCAGTGTGTAAGTATACAGACTTTTTAGCATTGAAACTCCTCTCTTTTGTAATGTCATTGAAAATGGGACATCTAACGAGGGAACTTGCAGATACATCTCTTTGAGTACTAATTCAAATTTTGTGAACTTTCAGCTCTGCTCTGTAAGATTGCAGCTTTGAGATCATTTTCACTTGATAAGTTACATTACTGGAGAGAGAGCTCTTCTGGCATGAGCGCCCTAGCTTACTTTTTGTCGAAGGACACGATCGACCATTTCAACACGGTCATTAAGCCTTTGGTCTACCTTTCTATGTTCTATTTCTTCAACAATCCAAGATCCTCTTTCATAGACAACTATATAGTTCTGGTCTGTTTAGTGTACTGCGTGACAGGGATAGCATACATATTTGCCATCTTTTTTGAGCCTGGTCCAGCCCAACTGGTGAGTGTTTGATGAACTACATGGACTGCTAATTTTCTGTTAAATTGCCCTCAATACTGATGATCCGTCTTTCGTTTCGCAGTGGTCAGTTCTTCTTCCTGTTGTGTTGACCCTCATTGCAACACGTGATAGTACTGATAACTCATTCGTGGAGATTATAGCGGAGTTGTGCTACCCAAAGTGGGCTTTGGAAGCATTTGTGATAGCAAATGCAAAAAGGTAACCACTCTCATCTATATTTGCAAGACCCTCCGATACTTTTGTGCGAGATAACTGAATGCTTCTTTATGTTTTATTTTTTTTGTTACTGCGAACTTTCAGATATGGTGGAGTATGGTTGATAACACGATGCGGTTCACTTATGAAGAGTGGCTATGATCTTAATCACTGGAGTCTATGTTTAGTCTTCCTAGCTCTTATGGGCGTAGCTTGCCGTATCATTGCTTTCGTTTGCATGGTCATTCTCCAAAAGAAATAGATTCAGCCAGTACTTATTTGAGACGATGGAGAAAATCAACCCCAACACGATCGCCTTTTTTCTGGGACCCGTAGCCAGCGGCAGAGTTCTCAACGATAGCCAATGACCTTTTAGAAGGTGCAAAAGCTCTCAAATCTCGTAGGCTTTGCCTACACAGGCAGTAGTGGATTAACAGCTGATTGGTATGTATGGGCACCCTGCAAGGTTCAGGAAGGAACTTGTTTCCAATTTCTCTTCACTAGATGCTGAACTGAAGCAAATGGTATCACTAGCGTGTGTATGCGTGTATGTGTGTTGGGACGTGTTTAACAGGTATTTGTACAAAATTAGGAGATGAATCATGGAAAATACACTTTTGTAAGTTATGATCTTGAGATATGAATGGATGTTCGTTTTTACTTCCAATTCCTGTCCACAGCATCCTACTTACGTCGAGCACGGATCATCCTGAATCCTCACGCATTCGCAACTCGTCGTACATAGAGAGAAAATCCTGCAAGAGTTTTGCCAACTGCATTGCCCTTCTTCTTTCTGTCGTTCTTCCTAGGGCTTGGTCGTCCCATTCGGACTCAAGTATGTATTCAAGTTGGCCTCCTGAGTTATCTGGATGCATCTAAACAGGCGGTAACTTGCAACTGCACCTTCTCAAAGCCGACTTTCGCGATGCCATACTTTCTGTTTATTCCCCACATCACACTCGTTCCAAATAGGGCCGGAGGAAAATTGAATTGAACTATCAACATCCGGTACGGAACGTGTTTCTGATTTCTAAGATTTCGATAGTAACTTGCTCAAAAAGCCATGGTCATGTCATCATCATGCTTAAGAAAACAAACGAGCCCGCGATCCCATCATTTGCAAGGCGTTCCTAACCCGTCTCCTACAGCAACCTCGTGTGGTTGGTCGCTGAAGTCACCCCAATCAAATCAAATTAAACAAAAGTAGAAAAAATTTGAAAAACAGAGAGAAACTCGAGAAGGTGTGTATACATAACCACTGAAAAAGAAAAAGAAAAGAAAAAGTAAAGACCTCGAGAGAGACCAGACGAGAATTGCAAGCTACGTTAGAGCGACTCTCGTCCTAACTCAGTTAATCTTCGTGGGGGTAACTAATCCCTCTCTCTCTCATAATGTCTTCTCTTGCACGACCGGGTGGTGGTCGAGACGATGTCCCACCACCACCTCTACCTTCACCTCCACCAACAGCGACGGTTACTTCCCCCCCAACCCGTCTCTGAAAACTCCCTCCCGCCCTCTTCCTCTTCCCCTTCCCCTTCCCCTTCCCCTTCCTCCCTGTCTCGTCGCGCTCGCACGCTCGTCGACTTCTCGCGTAGCTCCGGCAATCATCACCGCCCGCCGCCGCCGTCAGCAGCAACCACAACCGGCCACCGCTCTTCCTTCGGTTCCGAGCCTCTCTCCCACCGCCACCACTGCCGCCACCACAAAAGGTCGGCCTCGGCCGTCGTCCCCTCCTGTCTTAACTTCCGCTGCTCCTCGTCGCGCTGGGGGTGCAAGCTCGAGCCGCGGTGCAGCGAGGTGTCTCCCATGGCTAGCCGCGGGGATCGCTCTTCGTCGTCGTCCGAGCTCGTAAGTGCGCGCCATTGCTCTGTTTGTAGCTCGGGAGCCACGATCGGGGCTGGTTATTCCTAGCGTGTCAACAGTGCTCTGTTTCGCGTTCGCGTCGGCTTTTAGTTTCGTCCGATAGCTTAAACGATCGATTTGTTCTAGTCGAACGTACTGTTCTGTCTTTTTCCGGCGTGCTTTCGTGTCGCGGGCATGACGTGACGAAGAACGCGTCGCTTTTCTTCTGTGAGTACAGAGCTCATGACGGCTTGAGCGTCTGGCATGATTCATCATCATCATCAGTTTCAGTAAGCAAGAGAAAAAGCAGAGAAACTTTTGAGAATTCTCGAGAGAGAATGCGTCTTTTCGTCAGCTTGTTTTTCAATTCGGGAATTTCACCATCTTCTTTCGCGGTGATTATTAGTTAAATCTACTGCATAATCTGTTGTTATCTATAAGAATTATCCATTCCTCATTAGTCATTGCTAAATATAGTTACTGTCGCGGGGCGTCACTGCCGATTAATTACTCTATGCGAATTTCGTTTCTACGAATGCCGTGTAGCACGACAGAAAAAATTCTAACGAGTCTCCTGCTGCGAATTTCGCTTATTTTGATGCAATATTTGTTGATCACACAGAGAAAGAGGCAGCTCAATGGACAGAAAAAGAAGGAGGAGCTGGAGAGAGAGGTAATGTAACTTGGATTTGGGAACCTGTTCTTATTTGATTTGAAGGATCTGCACTAGATTAGAGAATTACTCTTCTTATCAATCCATTACGGCAGTGGTTGGCTCCGGCAAATTCGGGAAATGAATTATGCGTGCCAATTAAAGAAGAGATTAGAAGGCTTAGATCCCCCCATAAATTGCATGTTCTGCGACCAATTCCTGGCCCATTAGCATCAGATGCTCCTTCAGATTTACCAGCTGGAGTTCATTCCATAGATAGTAGAGCATTTAAAGGAGAACTGAATATTGGACCATACCTGTCCTTTTGCACTATGCACTTGCCGTCTCTCCCCCCAGTTTGTCAGACAATTAAAGTGACTCACTTCAGGAAAGAGAATTAACATGCGACACAATTTTGGTGACCTCTTCCGTATGTTGCAGTTAAGCAAGTGATTGTTTTGTTGATGTATTTCGCTCGGTAGGTTTCGATGCTTCAACTCTTGCTGAGTCAAGAAGAGAAGGTGAGAGAGATCCTGGAGCGCGTCCAGTCCCGGAAAAATGGTTCGACCAATGCGATTCCAAAGTTTCTTCCACCTAAGGTTAAGTGTATTTATTAGATTCTTTTCTCTTTTCTTTCTTTTTGACAGAAGTAATGGAGTGTGGTGTAGAGAATATGTTTGCTGTTCAAGCCTTCAAGGAAAGTAATGTATTACAGCATGGGCTTTGATATCATAGGGTCGAGCTTGTATAAAATTAAGCCTTTGTCTGACAAAAGAGTTGAGAATCAGCCTCAGCAGTACAGTGTATGGTTTAAAGTTGATTCGGTGCATCGCGATCCATCCATCTTTGGAATAATAAGTACTGCAATGCCTATGATACATTATGAGAGGAGTTCCGACCGTCTATGGGGAGCCTACTTGAATTTTGTGTTTGATTCACTAGGAAGCGCATTACCTTGTTGTAAACAAGAACTTTTTGATCATCTCACTTATTCAGAATAGAATTTTGGAGATAACATGTTCCAATTCATGATTATCAGCACCTTTGCCTGGGTAGTAACTTGATTAAGTCTCCATTAGCGAAAAAGGAAAAAAATAATTTGTTTTAAGGGGCATTAAGACATTATTTAGCACAAAAACTATCTTTGAATTCCTTGTTTGTTATACAGATTAAGGAGCTATTAGCAGAGTTGGCAATGGTTGAGGACGAGATAGCCCGACTTGAAGGCCAAATAAGCCGACTTCAAGCTAATTTAAAGAATGAAGAAGAAGCTACCAAGGAAGCAAAGTCCAGACAGACAAAGATACCCGAATTTCCGAGCAATCCTCATCCTGCTTCTGGCTATCTATCATACACACCAAGTCCGAGCCCCTTGAACAGAGTTGTTCCTGAGAGGATGGCCTTTGAGACCAAAGCATTGCATTTCATAAGCAAAGCCATCAAAGGGGATTACAACATCAAGGACTTCACTCTGATTGAGAAAACGGGAAATTCAAGACAATTTTCCGATCAGAAGGAGAATCATTTCCTCGAGGATGCTAAGTTTCACGACAGGCTTCTGAGGAAAAGCCGGATGCTGAAGCCGGCCTTGCCCTTGCAAGACCTAAGACACCCTACACCTAAGGTAAAACTGATGCGTCTTTCATAATCAGTCCATTTGTGTTTCAGATGAATACACACCACTCTACTTCAGCTTGTCAAAAGGCAATGTTCGATCAATATCCACGACCATCTTGGAGCATTCTTGTTCTTGAATTAAATCAAGATGACTTGCCTTTCAGCCAAGGGAACGAAGGCAGGAGACCCCTCTGAAATCGCCACCTATGTTCATGCCGAGTCCAATGAAAGTAGAAGACAATAAGCAAAAGTGGGAACCCAACAAGCTATCTGAGAACATTATGAAGTGTTTGAACTTCGTTTTCATAAGGCTACTCAGAATGTCGAGAGTAATGGAATTAGAGAAGTCGGGTCCAGTTTCCCGGTCCCTGAACTCGACTCTCAACTCAAGAAGCTTCAGAGTTGAGACTGGACTGAGTTCAAGGCAACAAGATCCATACGGCGTGTTTGATATGGAGGATTCTATTCCGAGAGACATCGGCCCTTACAAGAACCTAGTCAGATTTACCGCAAGTTCTATGGATCCTAAGTGCATTTCTTCGTCTAGTTCCATTCCCTTACTAAAGAAGTTGAGGTACGAAACTTTGCTGCTACAATAACTCTGTGCATATTGAAAGAGATACTCACATTTTTTAAAATTTCTCGCGACTCATCACTTGTAGCTCCAATTCTCAATCTGAATGTCTCCAGGGACTTAATGAGTCATCTCAAGACAGTGGATCTGCGATTCTTGACAAATCAACAGAAGCTGGCATTCTGGATCAACATGTACAACGCTTGTATCATGCATGTATAATTTGATAAACAGAAAATTTACCTTTCAGTGTACAAATTTCGTCACATATTGTTGTATGGTTTTCTTTTCCTATGTCTGCATATACCCTGGCTTTTATTTGCACGCGTTTTTCTTACAGGGTTCTCTCCAGTACGGGGTGCCTTCTACTCCAGAAAAGCTGCTTACACTGATGAACAAGGTACACTCGCGGAATGTCTAGTAAAAAGCTTACAATTCTAATACAGATCAATGAAAAATGCGTCTTACTTATGTCTTTTGAATTCAGGCTACCCTCGATATAGGAGGAAACACGATAAACGCCCAGGCGATAGAGCATTTCATCTTGAGGAAGCCTGCAACTTCTAAAATTATGGAGGTGATGACCTTTGAGTTTGGCGAATTCCCAAGCGGCGCATTTGCGTAAATATGATATAACAAACCCCACCCACCCCCTTTTTCTGCAGGTTCACAGAAAAGTCGAAAAGGATGCCAAAGAGGACTTAGTCCGGGAAGTCTACGGGCTAGAGAACACGGATCCTAATGTCACTTTCGCTCTGTGCCGCGGAACCCGTTCATCCCCTGCTGTGAGTCGCCGACCGCATATGCATATGTGATTGAGACGACACAAGTTCTCAAAATTCTAACGAACCCTGAAACCCTTGCAGGTGAGGATATACACGGCGGATGGGCTTGCGGCCGAGCTAGAGAAGTCGAAGCTGGAGTACTTGCAGGCCTCTGTGGTGGTCACGGCCACGAAGAGGATTGCGTTCCCAGAGCTACTGCTCCGGAACATGCACGACTTCGCGACGATCCCGGACGCCCTGGTCGAGTGGGTCTGCCACCAGCTGCCCACGTCCGGGACCCTCCGGAAATCCATAGTGGATTGCTTCCGGAGCCACAACGGCGGCGGCGGCCAGGCACTGATCACGGTCCAGAAGATACCCTACGACTACGAGTTCCAGTACCTCCTGGCCATGTAGTAAATTCAACATTCTTCTCCAGTCACGTCCTGTGAAGAATCTAATAAAGCTCGAGATGCAAAAGGTCTAGAGACTATTCTACTCTTTTTAAGGCGGAAGATGGTGAAATGTGCATCATTTTTGCACTCAAGATCCAAGTTGGACCGCCTGATTTTCCCGGTTTCTACTGAAAATGTGCGTCCCCTGTTCGTCATTGCAATCGTCATAGCAACTCCCCGGTCGGGCTAGAACCATGCACGCGTTTAGGTTTCGTCTTTTGACCTTTTTTTTATTCCCTCTCATTAATGATTTGTTAATTGATGAGTGGACCGCTCCTCTTCTTTCTCCTTAGTCCCACTCGTCTTTGAAAGAAATCTCTTCTTGGGCTACGTGCTTTTACTTTCCCTGAAAAGCAAATGGACCGTCCCATCAGCATTGACGAAATCCAGGGAGACCGACTTTAGAAAAATCAATTCAATGGCAAGGAAAAATAATCAAAGAATTTAATGTTAGCGATGTGGCGATGTCGTCGTTAGATTTGAAGGCCACCGGAAGATCCATCTCCTATGATTTTGTTAATATAATTTTCGGTAGCTGTGCAATTTGATTCTCTAATTTTGTTACGTGCAATTCAGTTCTCTAACTTTCTTGATTTGTGCAATTTGTAAATTTATTTCGTGTGGTCGAAACCTTCTAATTTTCTTGATTTGTGCAGTCGAGTATTTTGTTTCCCCGCTATAATTAGTATTGTCTAATTATGATTTCATATTTTTCTTGTTTTTTCCTTTTGTTTTCTGCACATTTGGCGCCACATTAGTATAGGGAAAATTGTTCAAAAAGTCCTAAATTTATTACATTTACACCAATTCAGTTTTAAATCTTTCAATTTTGCCAATCCCGTTCTAAACATTTTTCATTAGTGCCAATTTAGCCCATCGAGCCAATTTTGGCTGGCCGGCACTTACATGGACACCAACCAACTGGCCAATGCTGACACGCAAATTTTTAATATTTTAATACTTTTTTCTTTATTTTTTTTTTACCCTTTTTCCCTCTATCCGGTCGTTGGCAAGGACCGACAAGGTCCTGGCGAAGCTCGCCCCCATCGGCCACTAGCGAGAGCGAGCCTCGCCTGCCCCTGGCTAGGCGAGGGGGGCGAGCGAGGGTCGAACCTCGCCTTTTCGCTTGTCCCGTCAAACCCCCCAACAAATTCAAGATTTCAAAGAATCTTGAGAAATTTCATATGTTACTAACCCGTACGATAACAAAAAAAAAATGAAAAGTAAAAGTTACTACCATACATATATTATGGATCGAAATCTTTAGCTGGTCATAGATAGGATACGCCTAAAAAGAAGTTGATATAATAATTAAGAAGAAGAACGAAGGATTGGGCGCCTACCTTAGCTACATGACGCACCCAATCCATCAACAAACCATTTCTTTACGTGGCGAAAATCAATCAGTCAGACTAAACTAATTGGGAATTGACCCGCAAAACTAAAACTATAAAAACTAATTAGGAAGACTCCAGTTCCCATCCGAACCAAAACTCCTGTCCATTCCGTCCATTAATTAAAACCTTAATCCTGTTCGAAAAAAGTAGACTCATGTGAAACCCAAATCCAGTCATGTCACATCATGCTGTTGCCCTCAATTCCAAAATTCCACAAAACCATCCAAAAGAAGAATTAATAAAAAAAATGAAAAAATCTACACGTCTACTAATTGAATTTGGGCTTCAAGAATCAAGCACCGGATAAGAAATTCTCGATTCAATTTTAAAAATTTAGGAATAACCAACCAATCCCCATGGCGGGCATAAGGAATTTCGTCACCAACCTCTCATCTGGGTCCTAATGAAACCGATATGTTAGTGGGCACTTTGATGCTGTCCGACCAGCTCTTGGACTGCATGTACAGTTTGGACACCTTCCCCTCGACCCGGCTCATGTCGGGTCGCTTGTCCGGGTCCGGCTCGACGCACTGCAGCCCCAGCCGGACCAGCTTCTCCGCCGCCTCCACCGGGAACGAGTCGCCCAGCCGCCTGTCCACCCACTTCCTCAGCCTCCCCTCCACTCCTCCTCCCCCGTTGTCCCCGCCGTCGACCGCCGCCCTCGCCGTCTCGATGATCGAAGTCCTCAAGAACTCCCTGCTCTCCTTATTGTATTTATACTTGAACGGCTCTTCACCTGAAAAAACGTATTTTGCAAATTCGATACGGTATAAATAATTGTTGAATTTTTTTAAATTAAATTATACAAATGGCGACGGTTCCTGCATTCCCCTTACCTGATAGCAACTCCAAGAGCACAACCCCGAAGGCGTAGACGTCGGACTTCTGGGTCGCGACGCCGGTGACCCGGAACTCCGGCGACATGTAACCTCGGACTCCCTCGAACTGCATTCTCCGGCTGTCCGAGCGCTTCATCAGCCGCGGACCCGACGGCCCCTCGCCGGCCCCCTCCTCCTCCCTGATCTCGCCGCCGCCGCCGCCGCCCTTCTCCGCCCGCTCCCGGAGCACGTCGTTCTCGTCCGCCTCGCCGCACAGCTGGGCGGTCCCGAAGTGGCAGATCTTGGCTCTGAACGAGGGCTCCGTCACCACGATGCTGCTGCTCTTGATGTGGTTGTGGACGAGGATCATGTTGAGGCCGGTGTTGTTGTGGATGTAATCGAGGCCGTGCGCGACGTCGGCGGCGATCTGCATCCTCGACATCCAGGTCCCGAGGACCGTGAAATTGGGCATCTTAGGGTTCCGCAGGCAATCGGAGAGGCTGGCGCCGTCGACGAACTCGTAGACCAGGTAGATGTTGTCGCCGGAGACGGAGGCGCCGAGCAGCTTCGCGATGCTGACCAGGTGGATCCGGCAGATCATCCCGAGGAGGTCCTTGAGGCGGCCCATGTCGATCTTGCGCCTGAACTTGCGCTGGAAGACGACGACGTCCTTGCCGCGGAGGGAGCAGCGCCAGGAGGAGGAGGACGAGGAGGAGTGGCGGGTCTTGGCGAGGAAGTTGTTGGTGGCGGAGCGGAGCTCGGAGAAGGCGTAGATGACGGGGTTGTCCGGGAGGGTGCGGCGGAAGCTGGAGAGGGGGGTGGCGCTGGAGTGGGAGGAGGTGCCGGTGCCGCCGGTGCCGGTGCCGGAGGAGAGCTTGGGTAAGGAGGTGGAGGTGTAGTAGCCGCCGCTGGAAGAGGCGGAGGCGGAGGGATCAGAGGGGGCCAATCTGGAGGGGGTCTGGGAGGGGGAGAGTCTCGGGGAGGAGGAGGAGTGGGGCGGTCTTCTTGTGGGCTCGGTCGCTTCCACCGCCATTTTGGTCCTGCACATATGACCGCTCATCAAACTGCAAAAGCAGAAGGAGAACAAGAACAAGAACAAGAGACCAAGAAGGGTAATTGTTCGGGGTGGGAGTGGATTTCGGAGGGTGGGTCAGTCATGGATTGAGCTGGGTTGCTGCCAACACGCGCCGGGCGGCGGCGGCGGCGGCGGCGGAGGAGGACAGATGGAGGAAGAACGTGTGTTTTTCCAGGGATGATTTTCCTCTCCCCTTTCTAGGAAGAAAAAGGGTTGGGGGGGACACGAATCGATGACGAACGAACGAAAGAGGGAGAAGGGTCACAATTTGAACAGCGTCTGTCCGGTTCGACCAAACCCCATCATCATCATCATCATCATCATCGTATCTTATGAAAGCCCAAGTTAAACACCACGGCACGGCACGGCACACCCGCTAAAACAAAAGGGGAACAGCTTTGTGACGAGGACTCGCTTGTGGAATCAGACTTTGTCCGTTCAAGGCTGCCGCAATAACAATAGTAAAGAATTGAATTGCTTAGGCATAGCTGCACTACGGCATGTGGAAAGGTACATCACTAAAATTTTATACCCTTTTTTTGACTGGGGATGAATTTTGTGATGAGAAGTCGCGTGATCTCGTGGAGACTGACTCAGAGAAGAGTCGTCATCTTTTCCCCGGATAGCATCCTACGCCAGTTTTCACCCTTCATGCCTGGCTGTGGAAAAAGAAACACAACCCTTTTTAGACCGGGTTTGACTGTAGAATTGATTGCCTTTTTGGCTAATCAAGACGCGAACTGGTTCTGAGTGTGATCAATTTCAGAGTGGGTTGATTCCCAATTTTACAATGAAAACCGAATAAGAAGGGTTGGTTTCCAATTTATGGAACCAGGAACTGGCCCACCTGATTTGGGAACCGGCCACGATATCTTTCCTTCTTTTTTTTTTTCCTATTTCCTGCAAGATTGCGAGTGTTGCACTGAATTATAGAAAAAGCACCGAATCATTCTGCCATTATCGGAGCATCAATTGCCAAAAATGAAAAATTCCCCCTAATCCACATCCTGATTTAAGTGTTCAGAAGGCATTAATATAGATAACGCGGCCACAAATTTGAGTAACTTATGACGAAGGAAGTTACTTATCTGAGAGGGAGCAATGGAGGGTGAGTCTAGTGAGAGGCAAGAGCGAGAGAGTGACGCCGACCACTAAGCGACGACAATGAGAGAGGGAGGCGATTGGCGAGAGAATCTGCGAGCTCAAAGAGGAGAACTAAGGGGCAAGAGCAACTTGCAGAAGGTGAGATTCGACATGGCGTCGAGCGAGAGGGATAGAGGGAGATGTTGAGCTGCAAGCGAGAGGTGTGAGCGTGACTTAGACTGAGAGAAGTTAGAGGCATCAAGCCGCGAGAAAGGTGACATTGAGAGTTTAAGACTGAGAAGAGTTAGTGTGACCGAGACTTCGTGAGAAAAGAATAGGTAATTAGGGTTTTGAAATAATAAGAATTAAAAAAAAAACTATCAATTTGGTCCGAACGGTTCGGTCCACACTTAGAATCGGGAATCGGTCGGGTTGGAGTCCTCACCCTTAGCATAGAGCTATTCAGCATGTGGAGAGATAAAACAAAAAAACTAGACTTTATATAATCTTGATAGGCGATGAGTTCTTGGAGAAGAATAAAAATGTCGTGGAGGCTGCTGACACAGAGATTCTTCCTTGGTCTTTGTTTGCCCTGGTTTTCTTCAGGAATCCGACGATTTTAACGGAAGAAAGCGGGCCTAATTCCAAAAAAAAATTATCAACTTTACCTTGAGTGATAATACTGGTTCGAATTTTTTTGTTGTCTCATAAAAAATCACAAATTTTCACTTAAATTCTAAATCTAGCCCGAACAATTTGAAAATTTCATATCTCGAGGGCCAGATTTGTGACTAGAGTAAAAGTTTGTGCTTTTTATTGAGACAAAAAAAAGTTCGAGCCAGAATTGTCATTCAGAGTAAAGTTAGTGTTTTTTTTTAAAATTAACTAGAAGAAAGTGGGGTAAACTCAATATACAAATTATCCAATCCTTAATCGTGTTTGTTCCTTGCTTTAACCGCGTGTTTGACGTGATTTTTTACATTTTACTGGTTTTTGTTTCTTCTTAATCTATAAATTTTAAGGCAATAAAATAATGCCATCTCTACTTTTGCTCGAAAGGGAAAGTTGTCTCCCTATTTTGCTGTTGACTTGAACCATTAGAAAAACCGAGTTGGAAAATCGAAAAAGGTGGATAGTGACCGGAAAGCTTATATAGACTAATTGAGCAATTTTTTAAAGTCTGACCAATTTAGAAATGCATGCAACAATAGGCAAAATAGAAAATTAGGAAAAACTTAGAAATAAACAAAACCATAACCCTGCCGACTCCAGCGGGCGTCATTCGCTGCCGTCCCGCGATATTGCCTCGAGCTCAAGCGTCCATGGCCATCGCAAGATTGAGGCTCAAACGGCCGTGGCTGCCGTGAGCTCGAGATATGGCAGACATGGCTGCCGCATGCTCGAGCTCGAGCTCCACAATCATGGCGACCAAGAGATTTCAGATCCAGTGTCCTTACAAGAGAGCTTGAGCTCTGTGACACTCTAGACGGAGTGTCCATGGCCACAAGAATGCGAATGAAGAGACCCGTGATTGCCGCGAGCTTGAACTCGAGCTTGGCGGCTATGGCCGCGAACAGGAAGATTATGAACTTGTGCATGGACCCCTTGGGGGTTTCCAAGTCAAATATATCTTTAAGAAGTGAAAAGGAAGAGATCAATTTTAAAATGTCAAAAAAAAAAAAGTTTCATGAATAATGTTTAACGGTTTTAAGTCTGCCTTAGCAATTTTTAGTGATGTCAATCAAGCCCACAAACGCTGACCTTTTTCTATAACGATCACGTTGAACAAAATAAAAAATAATGGTCGCAATTCTGAATTCGATCTAGATTAGCAAGTCAAATGCGAAGTCCAACTAAGATGAATAGTCCTCGAAAACAAACCAGTATGGACCTGTATTTCTTTTGGGTATTCGAGGGTGCAATTACTTGCCTGGCTCTTGACTAATATCTTCCATTTCTTGATTTTGGGCATTTTCAATTCTACCTAGGTATCCTAGGTAGTTGCTTACAAACTCCGACTAAAATAGAAATCTGACAAGGCGCGATTGCGTGGGAAAAAAGAATTTCCGTGAATTAATTTTTCGAATTTTTACACATTTGATCGATGGAAAATTATTCACGGTTAAAAGAAACGTTCGCGCTTAAAGTTAAAGAAAATGAATTTCCTGACCTGAAAAGATAAAAACGTTTTCCTAGAAAATAATTTTTCCCAAAACATTTTCTTTTAATCGTGAAATTTTCCTTGAAATAATCACGCCATCCTCTGTATCGGTCTAAATTCGAGTAAGCTATTAAGTCCGAGATAAATATTCGGACGATATTGGAAGTGTGAAGTGACGGCACAACGTACGTTTCGTCACAGCCGCGATTTCGTGATAGGGCGAGTTGACGGTGGGCGCAGAAAGTCTTCAATTTCGTTTTGGATTTTATCGTAGGATAAAGAAAAAGGTGTTGCCGACTCTACTCTAGCCATGTCGAGTTCGTCAATTTGTGTTAGAATTTGGGGAATTGGCTTTGCGTATTTGCGAATTTTGTTGCGGCGGCTCAGTGCGCTTCTATGCCACTTTCTTAGACAGCTCAAGTCAGAGGTTTTTGCAATAGTCTTTGTGGATATCGGTATGTCGGCACAAATTTCTGCTTAGAGGCTCCCCGCTCGATTCGTTTTGATCGACAGAATGTTCAAAGCGGAGGATGCTCCAAACACAGACCACATGCAGCTTCACTCGTTGTATCTTCATGATAGATTCACAAAGATAGAAGTGGCTATCCCAAGTGATCTCATAAACTGCAGAGACACTCTTGAACAAGTGGCAGTATTCAAAGTAGGGTCCGCCGCACAGTGTGCCAATTTTAGTTTACCGCCGATGTTTTTCTTGTTTCGACGAACTCGAGATGGAGTTCGACGCAGGATGATGGATGGTTTTCATTGAGTCATCTTGCAGAGTGCATCACGAGCAGTTCAACAACAATACTGCGAAGACGACAGCCATGTTTTAGCTTGGAAAGACGGCACCCCCTCCTACTTGAAACCGTTACCTGTCCAAGAGACCGACACACGAACCGTCTATGCGAAACATGCCACACCAAGGAAGGAAACGGCTACTTGCACAAAACTGGACATCTTGCGAGTCAAAATTCACAAGGCAACAAGAAGATGACTCCCATTTACAACTGGTACCGCAATATCCAAACGAGGCTAGACTTCCATGGCCATAGTGTCTCCACTTGCAAATCTTGTTGCGAGAATCAGTCTATTCTTCCAAACTCAAAAGGAATTAAAAAAAAGGTTGAATATCCTCAAAGCCCTTCTAAGTCTCCACTGGCAATCATTAATACGTAGCCCCCTACTGTCCCAACAGATGCGCTTTACAAGTTCAAAAAGGTATGATTGGGAAACCATATTACCACCAAAAGGGAAATGAAAAATGACCCTTGATCACAAGCTGTAACGAGAAGACAAAAGGTTTTCAAATGCACCAGACCATCTGTCATGGCAGACTTCTGAAGTCGGGATTCACCTTTATCTTATGATATGTGCATATGTTACAAATAACTTTAACTAATTGTGACCTGCTTACAGATGTGTTAATCTGTCAAATCATCGTCAAAAAAATCAAGATCATCGTCATCAGTCGTAACAGCTCCCCCAACAGAACTAACTTCAAAAGGTTCAATGACATTAGCCAAAGTGACCATTTCTACAGGCTGCTTTTCTTCATTGTCATTCTCATTAAACGTCTCTTCATTGTCATCCACATAAAATTGCTCCATGTCATTGTAAACAATCTCCTAAATCAAGCCAAAAAAGATTCAGAATTTCACAACTCTTAGAATAACAAGAATTTTAATGAACAAAAAAACTTTGTTTGAGCTTACCTCATTTTCTGGCTCCGCTTGTCTCTCTGTTGCCACAATCCAGTCATCCAATAACATTTCCAGCATCCCACTGTCAAATGTGACCAAATCACCCGCATATCTCTCGAGTTGATGTTCTCTCAGACGCAAGTTATAGTGAACATAAGCTAGATCATTCCATCTCTTCCGGGAAAGACTATTATGCCTTTTGCTGTGGACTTGATCAAATATGCTCCACGTATGTTCGCATCCGATAGACGAACAAGTTTGGCTCAGTATACGTATGGCGATCCGCTGTAGATCAAGACAGCTTATCCCATGTTGCTGCCACCATGCAGCTATTGCAAAAATTAATCAACAGCACAAAACTCTATCAGCAATAATCT